TACGTGTTCTTGCCTTTTCAAACCTATGTGATGCTTGACGGGAACAATAGCACATACCAATTTTAATATCCCTCACAGCACTTAATGAAGAACTCATAGGAGCTGTTCAACAGATAACTACTAAATTGAACTCAGTCTATCTGAATATTCTGTCAAATTTGATCTAGATATTGTCATTTAATAAGATGAAAACAAAGTTGTAGTCAGTTCTTTGGATTCTCACAGATAGCAGGGACAGAGTATGATGTAATGGTTATAAGACTTCATATCTGAGATCAGTCACTTGAACTACAGTGTCTAGAACAGATTAGGTATTTAAATGTTTGCTTTTGTGAATAAATGAACAGAGGAAGCAGCCTGGATTTAAATCCCGAACACACCTTTTCTTAACTGTGTTATCCAGCTAAGTTGCTTAACACTTCTAAGGCTGAGTCCCTTCATTATTAAGATAGGATGGCAATAGAACCTACACTTAGAGGTTTTATAAATTATTGAACCTAATCATGTATATAAAACACTAAAGGATCTAACAGATAGAGGGAATCCTTAAAATAGCCCTTAATAGCTATAACCGTTATTATTACATTAATAATTAAATTGTTGGCCTGTACAAATATATTCTAATTTAACTCAGCATCACTTTACTTGCAAAAATGCATTGCTGCTTAAAAATTTTGACAGGTAGCATGACTGCATTTTTTAAATTAAAAAAACCTACAAGTTAATAAACTTCCACAAATTAGGAAAAGACTTTACTCAAGTTGCACACCTTCTTTTTAAGAATGTGTGAATTGCGTGGGGGTGAGGTGCAAAAGCTGGTGTTTGAAAAAGAATTAAAAATAGATCTTTAAGAAATAAAAATCTGTGTGTTTTGGCATTGCTAAAATGTAGAAAACGAATCTGCAGTATTTAGAACCATTGGCCAGATTGAAAGCTATGGTACCTAAATTCCAGGCTGGATTTAGCTTCCCTGAAAGCCACTCACAACTTCAAACACGGTTTTCTAAATGCATGTGCTCACAGTTTTACTACCCCAAATATTAGACATTATTTAAAAAATTGTAGAGAAACTAGCTAGTCAAATACAGGATCTTGGAACTGTAGGATTTTAGAACTGAAATGGATCTTGGAGGTAACCAAGTTCAAATCCCAAATTTTGCAGATGAAAATATGTAAGACCCATATTCCTTTCATGGCACAGAATAATTTACTATACTTTTTGGTGCCAACATAGGACTTTATGAATGAATGGCTTTTGCACAAATGCAAAGAGGACAATGCCAGAATGAGTTCACTTCATAGGCTTCATCACTTGGTAAAAAGAGAAAGCCAAAAAGCTCTGGGGAGTCAAGTGCTCCTTCACTGCCTCTTTGATGAACAAGTGGTAAGTATTAATAAATTGCCTTCGCAAGGCATGACCCCAGAGCTGACAATAAGCGTTTCCTATAGGCTCCATGCAGAAGGCTGGAGTATGTCCAAAAACCAAACCAAACCAAAACAAAAAACTAAGTTTCACATTAATATAGCATTCAGAATACAGCTTTGCAAATGGTTAAAAAGAAAGCCTTTCTAGTACTTCTGAGACTAAACTCCACTACAGAATGCCAGCACAACTATAATGACAAGGTTCAGATATATTTGCAAATTATTTGTACGTCATTTGCAGAATCCTGTAGAGGAAAATGTTGGTTCTATATATGGAGTCTTCATTTCTACTTTTAACATTCCATTTTCTTCTCCTTTTTCTTTTCAATAATACAGCTCTACTATTCCAGATGTACAAGCTAGAGGCAAGTGAGAAGTTCTGAATTAAAGGACTGAGAGTGGTTTTAAAAAATTAACTCGATGTGCTGTTAATAAGTGTTATCTGAACAAAATTTAAGTGCTTGGAATACATTGTATTAGTTAAATTTAAATAGGATTGGTCACTAAAATATTCCTTAGTGCCTTTTTTATATGCTAATTTATACTGTGAATCTTTTGGGAGAGTTGTACAGAATATAATGCTCAGCACCTTCCTGACTGATTTTACCCCCCACAAATCCTGCTTTAGTAGTACTGTACTAGAGCATGAGTGACCAAAAAGCAGTTTAACTCTGACTTGAAAACTTCTAAATTACATCAAATGCCATAAGAGGAAAAAAATGAAAATGATTTATCTTTGAGTAAATTCTTTTTGGCTTCTTCAAAGGATGATCTCTACACAGGTAAAATGAGAGTACAGTTCTTGGCTAAAATGCAAAGCAAGCATTTAAGATGAGTGTTTTCCTAAGCATAGAACTATGCTGGAAGCCGGAAGAGGTCATAGGAAGACTTGCATCCTGCCCAAATGTAAAAGTTTAAAAATGAAGTTTCTTTCATTCAAGGTATGGAGAGAATGGAGGAAGTTGGAGTAAGTTCCTTCCCAGGCTCCTGAGATTCTTCAATATCTGGGGATTCTACAGGATACGGTTAAAAACAATGCATTCTTATACATACACAGCTCCCTCACTTTCTAAGTTTGTGAGAAAGGGGGTAAATTGTTAATTAACAGAAAAAATAGTATTTGTAGATAGTGGTGCTATAAACCAAAAAGCCCTCTTGTTTTGATGAACACTTTGTTGGAACTAGCTGAATTTAGGCTTAGGAAGCTGGAGAGAGGTGACTAGTTAGTCATAATCATCTAGAAATGTTAATCTAGTTACATAATCATCCAGAATGTAGAGTCTCAAAGGCAATCTAAGGGTAAAGAAAGAAAAGAGGTGAAAAATGGTAAAGAAGGAGAAGATTCAGTCAAAGGATGTGAGGCTGAGGTATACAGTGTTCTAGATGTTGTCAGGGGTTGTTATCCCACGACAGAAGATTTGTAATTAAAGACAAATTTAAAATTTGATTTTAAATTATATACATTATTGTGATTATAAAACATTTCTGGCCTCTTCGGATCTTCAGTAAAATTTAAAAACCATTGTGGAAATGAGCATGAAGCAAGTTTCATGTCTCAGAATGGGACATGGACAGACTATGAGGGACGATTGAGCCATAAAATGATATAATCCAGCAGTAGCAAGAGCTCCTAAGTAATATAGACATTAGCAGAAATCATAGAAAAAGCCATATGCTTTCACAGAGTACACAGTGAATGGTTGGTAATGTTATTTAAATTTTAAGAAACAGAGCAGTCCTGGCTAATGGACCATTTTGAATAACAGAAGAAAGTTATGATTTTATATGGAGGAACATTTCCACTCCAATGACTTGGAGTTTTCACCACCAAGAAATGCCAACAACCCCCAAATGAGTTGGCCTATATTTCTAACGATCAATTAGCCATATCTACTTGAATGCCTTACCAATGCTTTAAATTCAGCATGATCCTGATGGTACCTTCCCCACTTCCTCCTAAGTCCCTGTGCCTTTGTTTACGGACTCTGTGAATGCTTCCATTACCTGTCCCATTTATCTGCAACTCTTGTCTCCCATTAATACCACACAGTGAACTAGTCACCAAATCATTTTAATTTCCACTGCTTCCATATTATCCCCTTCTGTGTTTTTTCACTTCCTCAGTTTAGCTTGCATCATCTTGCTGAAACAGTTCTAAGCACCTATTAATTGCTCTCTCTCTCCCTTCCATCGATCCTCCAGGCTGCATCAGTTATTACATAAAACACAGATCTTGTCAAGTCATGCTACTTTTAGACTTTATTATCTAGCTCCCCATTGCTCACAGGAGGAGGTTGTTTGTAGCCTGGTTAAAAGATTTCTGGAAAATGTGTTCTTGTGCCACTCTAAGCTTCATCTCCATTCATTTCCCACTCTACATGCTATGCCACAAGGTCACCCATACTATTTTCATCGCCAAATTATTTCTCTTCATCTTTTGTCTTTTCCAAAAAGACCTCGAGTCCTAGCCAAGCATTCATTCTCTGTCTCTAGCGTAATTCAAAATGTCAATTAAAGATAAAAAGAGATCTGATAAGGATTTGTGTTCTTTCTTCAGATATTTGCATTGTTTAAAATTGTAACTCAATAAATAATATGTACAATTCAGAATGTTGTGTCACACTCATAGGAAAAAGCTGCAATTGCTCAAATTATACCTCACAGGTAATGAACATTCTACATGTTTGGCTGGGCTTGACCAATGAATTGACCACTTTCTCAGGGATAAGCATTCCTTATAAGGCAGCATATGTAGTATAAAGGACATAGGATATAGTTTGAGAATCAAGCTTGAGGATCTGTGTTATAATTCACTGTTGAAGGGGTCTTAGGAAAAATATATCACTTTTATGAACCTCATTTTTTAAATATGTAAGACAATACCTACTTCTCAGGGTTGTTATGCAGATCAAATGGAATCAGGGATATTAGAAGACGGCAAATGGTAGAGAAGGGATCTTGTAACCTATAAAGCACTACACAAATGTGGAAAAAAGCGCTATGAAAAGACAACTAGACATGGAGTTAAAATATATGGTGTTACGGGTTGATCTGTGGCCTAGAAAAAGATATGTTAAAGCCCTAACCCCTGCTACTTGTGAGTGTGACCTTATTTAGAAATTGGTTCCTTGCAGAAGTAAGTAACATGAGGTCATTAGGGTGGGCCCTAGTTCAATACGACTGGTATCCTTATAAGCAAAGGAAAAGACCAGAGACACATGAGAAAATGGCATGTGAAAAAGGAGGCAGAGACTGGAGTGAGGCATGTATAAGCCAAGTAATACTCAGGTGCCAGCCACCACCAGAAACTAGGAGAAAGGCATGGAATAGATTCTCTCTTAGAGTCCTCAGAAGGAACTGACCCTGCTGAAATTCTGATTTTAGACTTCTAGCCTTCAGAACTGTGAGATAATACAATTTTGTTGTTTTAAGATACGCAATTTGTGTTACTTTGTTATAGTACCCCTGGGGAGCTAATATACATAGGTGTGAATTTTAGCTTCATCAATTATGACCTCTATGAATTCAAGTTAAATTATTTGAGGTTTCCCCCCTAATATTTTAAAGACACTTACCTTTCTGTGATTGTTTCTCTGAGGCCACTTGCCACCCCTTTGACCACAGTGCTAGCTTTGGGAGTCAGCACCACCTGAGATATAAAAAATGAGCCCTTCTTTCTTCTCTCAGTGATGGATGCTTGAAGAAACTGGATCAGTTTCTCGGGGTCTGTGGTGTTGGCCCAGGGTGCTGGCATCATCTGCCCAGGCCACAGAAAGGGCACTTCCAGAGCCACTGGACTATGGTAGAAGACCAGCACTTGATAGTCCTTCTCCCACAGGTACTTTAAACTAACTTCTTGGGCAAAAATCGCTGGGCACATTTTATTTCCATAGATGTCTTTCAGCATTTGGACTAGTTTTTCATGGTGATATTTCTGCATCCCATAAAAGTGGTTGAAGTCCAAGAACACTACCTCCTTATGGTGATCTGTGAGGAATGCATTGATCTCCTCAAGGCCTTCATTGACTTTGGCACTGAACAAACCATGAGCAAAATAGAGTTCATTGTCGGGGTCTCTGGGCTTGGTGGAAATTCGAAGATCAAAATAACGAATCCCAGCTCCTAGCTGACCAGTAAAATTCATTGTCTGAGTGGCTAACCATTTCCGCATGAGCTTTTTGGCCACAGTTCCAAACACAGAGACAAAATTCTGGACAGTTTCTGGCTGTTCAGGACCTACTGGAGAGGCTTCATCAATGTAGAAGCTGAAGGAATCGTGAGACCCTAGGAGAATAACAAGGCATAATGTGGTTAATTTCCAAGCCTTTGCCCTTTCCAAATTCTTTCCCTCTTGCAATCTCCATACTTCTCCCTCAAATGAGCCACAGGAAATACTAAGAAATTTAATACTAGTTATTTTTCATGTCTTAGGAGTGTCCTTTATATAAATTGACATAGGATAGAGAACCCTTCCATAGATCAAATTGACTATAAAACAATAAGAAGTTTTCCTTATTAAATTTAAAATTTAAATAATCATCTGTTCTGTGAACCAAGAATGTAATACACTCACTAGAATTGGCTTTCCATATGGGTGACATAAATGATCACTCATAAAGCAATATGTATGAAGACTCACTAGTACTCAAATATTTTACAGTCTTACCCTTTTCCTTGATTTGGGGTTGATTCTAAGCTTAGAAGGATTGTCTCAATGAATAAAGATGCCCTTTCCACAAGCAATCATCATCTGAATTTTCACCTCATTCACTTCAGAAGGCATAAGAGGAAAGGAGAAATAAGACAAGAAGGCAGTATGATGCTGATATATTTAACTTCATTCCTGATTTTGTGTTTGGCTAGTTGCAAACTTAGATGAGGTCAAGTACTTTTCACATATTGAATAAATGATAAACTGTTCTTGCAAGTCAACACTATTGACAACGTTTAAAAATTAAGTAATAGACTCTTTTCTTCACAAATTTTCTCTCAACAGCATAAAGTCTTTGGGGAATTGGCTTCCAAATTTAGAAGAATTTCCTCCTATGAAGAAAAAGGACTATTTATTTGATTATTTTTGGCAGTTGCAAATATCAGGACTCTGGAAATGTAGCAATAAACATGTGTGTGATTTGTCACAGAGAGTGCCATTTGAAACTCTTTATTAGGACCCAATAAAGAAAAGTTATTTCAAGGTTGCATTTTATTTCTTAAATCCTCCTTTAATTTTTAGGCATAAGCCACTGAAGAGCTAAAATTAAATTAACATATCCTGGATGCTTCACACATTAGAGGGTAGATATGGTTTAAATTCTGACACTCTTCCCTGTGTCATGACCCTGTCCTAGTACCATCATCCCCATCTGAATTTTTACCTCATTCCTTTCCCTGAGTTGCTCAGGCTTCCCCTGAGTGCACTTTGTTTCTCCATTCCTGATCTCCCTTCCTTGAGGCACATAATTTCCTAGTTCTTTCACTCCCTAACCCAAAACTCACATACATAATAAATATGCGCAAACACACACAAGAACCTTAAGTTTATCTGTACAACACTTCAGGGCCTTGGTCTGATAAGCTATCGGAAGCATTTTTGTTTCAGTGATGCAATACATACCTATGTCTATATTCTCTCTCTCTCTCTCTCTCTCTCTCTCTCTCTCTCTCTCACCAGCTTCAATAGCCCGTAACAATCACAAGTGCCTACATTTCACATACCATGGTAGGTTGTTAAAGAAAATACTTTGCAAAATGTTTTGATATCCTGAAAATCATAACCTTTAAAATTTGGATAAGTTCTCAGAATGATTTGCTTTTTCAAAAACAATAAAAGATAACCCAAATATACAGAAATGCCACATTTAATTTAATCTGAAACTGCATGCCTTATCTTTAGTAGACAGTATGGCAAGAAAATGTCAGCCCTTTCTGAATAAGCAAAGCTGGGAGTTTGGTTCGATTGGCAAATTTTAATAGGCATTTAAATTGCTGCATACTGATTTATTAGCTGTTATTCAGTTGTCTGCTAATTTAAATGAAAGCTAAACAAATGGTGCTATAGGTCAATATATACAGAGAAGTATATATTCTCCCACAGGTACTTTAAACTGTATTTCTATCTAAAAGGTAGAAATAAAACAAAGTTTAAGAAGAATTATAATTAAATGATCTAAGATTAGAGGAGGTAATAAGTAAATTTATTTAAAAAGGAATTAAAAATAAATTTAAACTCTCAAAATAAGAGTTACAATAGTTAGTTTCCAGGCACATGAAGGGAAACATGGATGAAAATAATTGGTTACTTCTGTAATCTAGTAGAAATTATACTTGGAGGCAGGCAAAAAGAGAATTAAGTATAACTAGATTTATTTTACTATAAATAAGTGGTTCTTTGTTTTCAATAAGGCTTTAGTTCTATTACATAGTTATGTGGCAAGTAAAAAAAATTGAAAAATAAAATTTTAAAAGCAAGGAAATCACCACTTTTGAAAATACTGTGGAAGGATACTGTACTCTTTAAATTATATTATTTGTTGAATTTCATGGAAAGTAGCTTCTTATGGTCAAAATAAGGGAATATTAAAAAGAAACCAGAAGGAGAAGCCAATGGTGACTTCACCAGTAGGTGTTTTGAGGTAGATGATTCTGAGGTGTAGCCACAGCATCTGGTGTAAAATGCTGCTTCATACTGTAAATGTTATTAGAAAATAAAATCAAGTGATACAAACAATATTCTATGCATTTTGCAAGAAAATATATAATCTCGTGTTTGCTAAAAATGAATATTTTGATGCCTTTTAATTTTATTTGGACTAGTACTTCCGAATTTCAACGTTTTCATGAAATCAGTAAGTTTTCTATTTGTTTGAATATAAAGCAAAAATACAGCAATACTTCCTAACCATTCAATCAATAATCGAGAGGAAAAGCCTAACCTTATGTCTTTAAAGCCACGAGTCCCTTTGGTTCTTGAACTTCTCTGCTATATGTGGTCTGATATTTTGCTTCTACACTGACTTGGTAATTCTGGGTTTCTGACCTTTTATTCTTCTCTCATCCAACGTCTCAGACTCATACCTTGGACCTGGTACTTAATGTCATTCTTCTGATGTTGAATTTAGCTTCTCATCTTTGGGTTCCATTTGCCCTCTCTCCTCAAACAAGGGCTAACCACTCCCATTATGAACCCAGTCCCATCAAGCTTGGTTGCTTTGGCTCTGAATAAGTAAATATAATCATAGCAGCTTTTATTTAATTTCTTGGAAACAAACACTTTGTTTCTCCTCAGTGTGATAAATGGTTCCCTCATTCAGGCACTGTGGGAAGTACACTTCTAAGATGGCACCTAACAATCCTTGCCTTCCTGAATTCACACCCCTCTCTGTGAGTGTGGGCTTCACGGAATGTGTTCTCTTTCTGGGTCCACCAGGGGGGTGTAATTTTAAGGTCAAGAACTTCCTAGCGCCATGCCTGCCTCCCATCTCCCTCCGTCTTGGAGATTTAATGGTTTACGTTTGAATTTTGTGGGCACGGGAAGAAATTAAGAGTCAATCACTCCAGCAGAAGTTCTAAGGAATGCCTTTCATTGCCAAGGGATCTTAGAGAAGGTGGGGGTTCCTTCCAGGTTAAAAGTCCCCTTCTTCCACACCCCTTTGGACTCCATGTTTGGGTCCCCTTCCACGAACACTCCCTTCATGGAAGCTATCTTTCTCTCTCCTGAATTTCCCCTCTGGGGTCCCCTTCCACACTCTCTTGTGGAAGCCTGTCTTCCCCTCCTAAACCCCATCTCACTCTCTCTACTCCCTTCCACTCAGTGTGGAAGCTGCTTTTCTCTCCTAGATTCCCTCTTTCTGGATTCTCTTACTCAGTGTGAGAGCTGTTTCTCTCTCCTTCTCCTTTTTCTCTCTCTAAATAAATCACTTTCTACAAACACTGTTGAGTCCAGCATTCACATTGCACTGTGCCGTGATCCCCTCTCTCATTCTCGAGAGGGCAGGAGGCCAAGAACCTGGAGAAACAGTCTTTCAGAGGAGCTGAGGGCACCCTGAAACCTCATATTATAGGCTGAACCTATGACCTGCTTCTAATGAATTACATAAGACAAATATGATGGGATCCCACTTCTGAGATTAGGTTATAAAATGTTATCACTTCTGTCTTGTTACTTTTTTCCTTGCTTTGATGAGTGAACTGCCATGTTGGCGAGGCCCATCTGACACAGAGGTGGGAGTGGCCCTCGGCCAACGACCAGCTAGGAGCAGAGGTCTTTAGACTAATAGCTTTCAGGGAATTGAATCCTGTTAACAGCCAATGGTAAGCTTTGAAACAGATCCTGCCTGAGTGAGATCTTGATTGCAGCTGTGTTAGAGAGACTGAAGCAGGGAACCCAGTTAAGTAACGATTAGATTTCTGGTCCATAGAAGTACACAGAAACTCTGTGTTGTTTTAAGCCACTAAATTCAGGGGTAATTGTTACACAGCAATAGTTAACTAATACAGGCCATAACATCTTTTGGGGTTAATGGGGGGACATGTGGCCAATAGACCCCACTGGCTAAAAGAAGTTGAAATTTCAAAGAAGAGAAATTAACTATGTTTATGTTATGGGCATGTTTGTATGCTTGAAAACTGTATCAGGTACGAGAAAAAATTTAAAAGTTGGTTTGGAAAATATTCTTGAATTCACAAAAGGAGTTTCTTTTTCCTGCATACTGTTATGCATGATCTGAGATGTCATCTGGCCTAACCAATTGGCACATACTTATTACCTTAGCAGTATAGAATGTGTGTAATTATTTCTATATTTTATGATTTCCAGTAGTACTGGACTTAACTTTTCATCCTGCCATTTGGTGTGCTGGGAAGATTGCCCCCAAAACATCCTTCTCCTAGCGATAAGACCTATATAATCCCTCCTCTTGAGTGCAAGGTCTATGATTTCATATTGTTCTTGTGATTATGTCACATCATATCAAAATGAGATTTAAAAATGTGTAATTAAGGTTCCTATTCAGTTGTCTCTTAATCAAAAAGAGATTATTCTGAGTGGGCCTGACATGAGCAGACAAGCTCTTAAAAGAGGCAAAAATCAACAGTTATTTTCCTGTTGGTCTTACAGAAGCAAAATGCAATGTTGTAGAGAAGGCCATATGGCAATGGAAGTCGTTAAAAGCACACTAAAGTGGTATAAAATTAATTTAAACTGAAAGCATGTGATCAATCAGCAGCAACAGAAAAAATATTATTCAAACTTAAGCAGACCCACCTGAAAATATAGTTACCATTGC